ATTCAAATATATATATATATATATATATATATATATATATATATATATATATATATATACTATAGAGCTACTCGAACTCCTATTTAGAAATAAAAGAAAAACCAAGAAAACGGAAAATGGGCTTTTGAATTGATAAGATATTTAAAGACACACACGTAAATGTTGGTTCTATAAACTACAGATGATTTTTACAGAAAATAACGAAATCAATGTGTTTGATATTAACCATTATAATTATTTATGAATAGCTTATCACTTTCCATTATTTCTTCCATATTTTAGTTAGTAGAATATCAAATGTAGATCAAATATAGATCAAATATAGTATCAAGTTTTTTTTTATTATTTCTATCTGGATCTCTGACGAAGCTTTAATAAAAGTGAAACATGCCAGATTGAGATCTGCTTCCTACTTGTTCTTTATCCTATTATATTATATATATATATATATATATATATATATATATATATATATATATATATATATAATTAATCTTTATTTATTATCTGTGTCAATTAAGTTGCATTCACAATTTTCGAATACAATCTACTAAGATTGAAATATCGAGATTCTAAATAGCAATGAAAATAATGATTTAAAGAAATAACCCTGATTATGATGTTGATGATGATAATTCAGCAGATATATATGAAAACATCACGATTTTTTCAGTAATCTTTTAATACTATTCCAGCATGACTATCACAAACCCCTTTCCAAAGCAACTGAGTGAAAAATGTGAAACCTGAAAGAATCCCGTACCTAATCAAGTAAAACTAATCTGAATTGTGTCAATGAATTCTATTTGAAGTCGTTTAAATTCATTCATTAATTGATATTATAAATTAATTCCAAAGAATTTTCTATTTAAATACGAGATTTTTGATATATTATCTCGATTTGTTTTTTAGAAAATAATTTCGCCTCATTTTTTAAAATATATTTTGTCGCATTTTTATAGAATACAAGCTACACAAGAATATTTATTAGTGATTTAGCATAAATAAATATGAATTAAGACTAATATAATCATTTTCTCCACAGCTTCTCCAGCATAATTATATTGACCTGACTTGACGAATATCATATCCCGTGATATACATGTATTTAATAAGTATTTAGTTAATTTTGAGGATATATTTGAAACTTATACAAACTCTGATATATCGTTTCAAAACTGAAAGACTGATGATACTCGCCGAAATAAAATAATGAACTATGAAAGTACCAAATTTAGTTAAGCATTTATGGCAATATTTCTCATTATTTGATTTACAAAAAACAATTACATAGCATCGTCCAGATTTTCTTTTTGAAAGTTGATATTTGTTTTGCATATTCAGCTTTTATTTCATTTGTATTCTTTTCATTATAATTCGTTTTTTATCCTTCATTACTTCATTTTTTACCTTTATTTAAAATTTCTTTAAATATAATTTAATTTTTATTGTTTTCCACATGATAATTGCAAATTAATTTTTCTTTCAACAAATAATATACCCTTAACTCTTAACTTATTCCTTATTTAAGGTTTGTAGATTATTTTTATTTTATTTTTGTTATATTTTATTTTTCTACTTCAGACACTTTCTTTATGGAGTTTTATTCATTTGTATTTTCCTTTAACAATTCTTAAAACTCATGTTTATACATTAATTTTCTAGAAGGTTTCAATTTTCATTATTATTATCATCCATATCGATCTTTTTCTTCTTTTAAAGATATACACGTTTCATACTCGCAATTCTTCTTTTCCTTAATTCACTCTAAATGTTCATATACAATTTTGTTTCATAATTTCTTTTCCATCAAACTTCATTTTCTCATTTCATTGCACGATTCAAACCAACTTAGATCAGAAGTTATTTGATCCATCTTGTGTAAAACAAGTTCGCTTTCTCTTCAGAAGTGATAACAACATTGGTAAGGATACAACGAAGATAATTTTCCTCAAAGAAATTGAATCGAGCAGGACTTGGAGGTTAGCCCAACAACAAGGAAACAGTAACCGACTACTTTATCAAATTGGGTGGTCCCAACAGGTGGTGACTCAGATTTGTAAAATACTCTCCACAAATAAGTAGCCCCCCTCACCATCCCTGTAAGTTTTTCAGATCTGAAGATTTTAGATTTGGTAAGAAGGAAAAGAATCGCAGTCTTGCAAATCGGAGATAGTCATCATTCACTGTAAGGCGCGTGGTAGAGTCTCTTTTTTTTTTATAGCAATAACAGATGAGAGTTTCAATTTCGATTAGGATGTAAGCGATTTGAGTTAGAAAGTATCCATTAGGAAAATTAAAAATGCTACTTATCAATGTTTACGAATATTGGTAGTTTGAAAGAAATATTTGCTTTAATATCTGACTGTACACATTAACTAAACAAATAAAATTATTTGAAAAATTGTCTCTCTCTTAAGAAATACGTTTATTTTTGTTCTGGAGAGCCATCGATGTTACATAGGAGAAACTTAATGTCGCATGTAAGAACATCCTATATAAATATTTGTTTAGAAATTATAGCCTGTTTTCGTAATCCCTTAACAATATTCTTCTTAGTACTATTACGCAATATCATGGATTTTAAATTACAAAACATGAGGTTGGGGTTCATTTCGCGAGTTTTTCACGGTTCCCCTTGAAGTAAAATCTTTAGTCTTCCTACTGAAAATTGTATCTCTGAAGTTTTTTGTTGGGTGAAAGTCGCCGACGAGACTTTTGTGCATTATCGTAAAGTTACAATCTTTTTCTTGGTTGCCACTTGCATATACAGTTGCTATAGCCCACGGAAATAACTTTTTCCGGGTATACCAACGTGACATCTTTGATCACAACAGATACCTCTGTGTTTGCTCGTAATAACTACAAACGTGTTTCCAAATTGGACAAGTCATTGTTCACTTACAGAATTAGGTACCGCACAGTCTCTCACTAGTTTGGTCCTCATGACCTGTTGGCGACGCTAGAAGAGCGTGTTAAATAATGGTAAATCCCCAGTCCCTCCTCTCTTCAATCAATTGATGTGCTATTATCTCTCAATAAAACAGATAAATTGCCCACAAATGCCATTCTAATTCTACTCTCGGCACAACAGGGATCCCTTTCTCTGACTTTCCACTTAGAACCGAGTCTGTGGGGTATGCATATAACTCCATCTATGATTTCCGCTAACATCTCCAAACTTGATCCTCATAAAGCTTGATGGTATCTCTGCATTTTATCTGAAGAAATATACCCCTGACCTGTTCTCTCCAAACTCTACAATAGATGCTTTGCTGCTTCTTGTTTTGCGGATTGTTGAAAATCCCCTTTGTAGTTCCTGTCTTTAAGAACTGGAGAACCGTCTGATCCTTCGAACCTATTCATCTTCTACTGCTCTTTGGTGAAGTACTAGATGCTCTAACATCTCCTAATTGGTTATTCATCTTCCCTCATAGGGTCTTCTTTCAGATAACTAATATAATTGCACAATTATAAGATCACTATTCGGTCGAGTATCGAATATTGATATCACATTTGGTTTGGTGCTTTGGCTATGTATTTAAAGATCCTTAAAACCCAAAGACGAATGGCAGTGACCTGGCATCTCGGCTTCAATCATTTTCACATCGCCGTAACGTAGCTTTCCTTTGCCTCATCTATAAATATTTCACTGTAATTGTTTCCTTTTTAGTATCTCGACTTCACGAATTTAAGCGCAGTGCTTGACTGGCAGTTAGATCTCAAAATTTCACTGTTGAAATGGCAGGATGTAGCTATAAACTCTCTGCTAATTGTTTCTTCAGTCGCTTGTGGAACTCTCTTCCGGCTTCTTGCTTCCCAGTCAACTTTGATTTTTAAAATTTTGAATGCAATATTAATTGGTATCTTCTATTTTCTTGAAATCTGATTTTTATTCTCCTTTTCGTTTCTTTCATTATCAGTAAGCCCTAGGCTGATAGTGGATTTTATTGTCTTGCCTGGGAATGAAATGATAAAAAGGTACAGAACAAAGACACACAGCACCAATCGTAATATATAAAAGTAATACTACGCAATACGCCAATTTATTTATTATTATCCCAATTAAAATTTTAATATTCATGACATTGAAATATGACTTATCGTTGGTAAAATGCTTGTTGGAAGTTTCTCCTGAGCAAAAATCAACGTTTGTTGTTATTACTGATTAATATAATCATACAACATCCACAAAATCTCTTTAAACAGCATAATATTCTACAACCATCAAAAACATACCTATATTGTGGCAAAGTTTAGATATAACAATATATATTTTTTGTCGAATACACTAACAAGAAGACTTACACTACACATGTCTGACTATTTGCCCATTTCGAGACATCTATAACAACATTCTTGTCCGCATTCATATTATAAAAAATTACTAATCGACAACACAACTACCCTACACCAAGAAAACAACAAATTCAGACTACATTCACTAGAAGCAATTTATATTAAAAAAAATTAAAGCCGGCACTGAACAGAATCAACTATGAATACTGCAGTAATGTTCTGAAATGCTTGTAAAGGAACAGTTTTTTCACACTTTAATGCGCGGATGACCATGATATTATAACAGAAAAAAATCATAATGGATAATTTTTTCAGGTTCTAATGAACGTTCAGCACATTGTCAGCCGTTTTGAAATTAAATGCATAATGAAAAAAATTACCGTAATGGATAACAACGCACAATTTTATATAAATACTTGTATTTGGAAGAAGATCGAAAATACTTGGGAAATGAAAATAAACAAATGTAAACAGCTATAGCACATTTATCTCATCCTTCAACATCAATACACGGAAGGTTATTCGGGAAAAATAGCAGATATTATGTCTATAATTTATTCAATCAGAAACAATGTTCAAATATTCCGTAGAACTGTGACATCAAATCAATCTTTATATAAACTAACATGTATCTAATATCTGTTTTGTTCATGGCTGTTATAATTTGTTTAGTTATCCAATGCCATTTTGAAACATTTCCACTAAGTGGTGCAAAAGAATGAGATATGATTCACTGAGCAAAGAATGAGACATGGTCCACTCAGCAAAAGAATGAAACATGGCCCACTCAGCAAAAGAATGAGACATGGCCCACTCAACAAAAGAATCAAACATGGCTCACTCAGCAAAAGAATGAGACATGGCCCACTCAGCGAAAGAATGTGACAAGATCCACTCAGCAAAAGAATGAGACAAGATCCACCCAGCAAAAGAATGAGACAAGGTCCACTCAGCAAAAGAGTGAGATATGACTCACTGAGCAAAGAATGAGACATGGTCCACTCAGCAAAAGAATGAGACATGGTCCACTCAGCAAAAGAATGAGAAATGGCCCACTCAGCAAAAGAATGACAAAAGGTCAACTCAGCAAAATAATGAGACATGGCCCACTCAGCAAAAGAATGAGACAAGGTCCACTCAGCAAAAGAATGAAACATGGCCCACTAAGCACCGAATATGTGTGTTACCACAAAAAAAACAAAAACAAAACAATAAGTCATTTTGACATGCGAGGTTAATTCAATACAATGTCCAGATATTTTTGAGTGTGTCAGTATTTTTCAATTTTATTTTGTGTTCTGTTGAAATATCATCATCTACTGATCAACTATTTTTGTAGACGAGAACTACTCTATACCTTATTTTCTGGACTAGATTGGAACTTTGAAATGAATCACCCAGAGGTTTTTACTTTTTATTTTCGATGAGCGATTATGATTTGTGCCTATGTCTTTTGTTTACAGAGTCAAATATCAATTGATGTTACAATTCCCAGTGAACTAATTTACTTGATCATTTTTAGACTCTTCTTTTGTTAATTAACTGAAGTAGTGTCTACATGCCACCATCTTCGCATAATCATTACTTACTGTTTTCTTGCATTTAGTCTGTCTTAGTCTTACTACAGTTCATTCTTATAGAAATAATCTCGATTGAATTTCACAATGATTCAGCTTTTCTGTGTAAACTTTTTCTTCCAAACCGTGTTCATTTGATCTATTTTGCAGTTCCTTTTGAAACATCTATTTTTCTGCTTCTAGATTTTTGGTGATTTCTGATCTATTTGTTTTATCAGTTCTTTTGCTTTTTATTGTCATAATTCATTTTTCACATGTCGTCTAAAAATGAAATTCCTAAAGTTTGCACTGGTATCCTTTGATCCAAATTTCTAAGTTATTATCAACATAGAAACTGTCCAGCAATTTATATGGAATTATTAATTTTCTTGTTGGAGATTTTCTTAAATTCACTTCTTAATTTCTTCTTGTATTCATAAATTTTATTTCACATTTATTATTAGCCTTTGCATAAATAAAATTGCAAAAGACTTATGTTGTATACCAATTTTCTTGTTCTTTGGGAGATTATATCTGCTTAATATATATATATATATATATATATATATATATATATTAGCCACCGCGCATTTCTCTCGAGACTATTGACCTGTCATCTCTCCGAGAAAAGTGAGATAATATATAGACATTTAACGCACACCCACGACGCCTTTCTTAATTACTGACAAATTATGGTGAATGATGCAACAACCGAAATGCAAGAAACAATTAAAAATGTAGAATACCTGAAACCCATCACCAAGAAAATGTTTTAATCTCGGCGCACACGTGTTAAAATTCCATTTAAATCTACGGTGACGCGACAATACCTACCATCGAGTCTGAATACACGTTCACTTTAGAATCCAGACTGTTAACAACATAAACGATCCACTATCCCTCGACTTGTACATTATTTCCGTTAAAACGAGCATCGTTGTTTGTTTTCACGAATATCAAAAATACTCGGAACATGGCCGATCATTTCTGTAGTTTCCTTTGCAAGATTTCACCCGACATCAATTGATATCAAGAAAAATGAACCAAAAGACGTAATCACTATTCATTGTCAGTTGTTTTTAATAAAACATGTTTAAACAAAAAAATGCTGTCTAAATATATTAACATATATATATATATATATATATATGTGTGTGTGTGTGTGTGTGTGTGTGTGTGTGTGTATTTGTGTGTATACGTCCAAAGAAAGTGACACGTAAGTTTTAAAATGCATTTTTAAAAAATGAATATTTTCAGTAAGCAAATTACCAATTATTTGAATTTTGGGTACTTTGGCATTATAGTTTAGCTTACGAAGGCGATTGTTGAGGAAATTTTAGAAAATTATCATTAAATTTTAACTTTGGTATAGTTACCACTCTTATTTTCTGATGATATTAGCAAAATCGGTACGATTATACACGCATAAAATAAATTCAAATTTTTTTAAAACTGGTGGTCGTTGAATTGTAGTAAACTTTTCCACTTAGGTTTAGTGCATACTGTCTTAATATCACTTGAAAGCTACAAATCATATACAAAATTTTAAAAGATTTGAAAGTTCATAAATTATTCTAATTAAAATAAAAAAATGAGAACAATTTTTGTAAAAACACCTTATTAATCGATTTTTTTCTTAAGACAATAATTTTAAATATATTTTACACATAAAAGCAATTAAGAGCTTTTATAATTAAATAATGTCTTAGTTAATTGATTTTTTATTTTACGATTCCAAACAGATTTTGGGGGTCATTTTTGAAAAGTTTTCCGAGGACATGTCCGTATAACTAATAAAAACTTTAAGCGCAACAAAAAGAATTTATGGAAATTTCATAAAATTCAATGAGTGAAGGTTAACAGATGTAAAAAACAATATTTTTTACAAAGATTTTCTAAAAAGAAACCTTAAAAAATAATTTAATTCATCAGTGAATAATTCCTGAAAGACAAATATCTCATTCTTGCAAGAATCACCAAATCAGTGTTTTCCACTGCAAAACGATACTCAGAATTACCATAGAAATTTATGGTCAGCCGCTGATGCAAGAAAAACAATTGTCCAAAATTTCGAAGGTTCTAAACAGGATCATAAACATATAATTAAATAGTAAAAAAAAAAAAATTCTTTCCTCTTAATTAAAATATTGACGATAAAACATTTTTTATTATGTTTGGGGTATTTTATAGTGTATACTCATTTTTACACACACATATGTGTATGTATGTGCATATATATATATATATATATATATATATATATATACATAAATCATCACTACATAGTGATTATCAGTTTCACGCTTTAATTTAGCAATATTCTGCCTGTCATCATGCTGTGTTGATTCATATTTCCACATTCTCTATGCTTGTAGGCCATGTCTCTGACATTTAGCACTCTTCAACTACTATATATATATATATATATATATATATATATATATATATATATATATATATATATGTGTGTGTGTGTGTGTGTAATTTAAAAAAAATATAATATAGGCTCTGCTTGTGTATTGATCGTTGTTTTTCAAAAAAAATAAAAAAAATACGAAAAGAACTTCGGATTATTAACCTAACAGTTTTTTCCTATTTTCTATATAGTCACACACACACACACACACACACACACACACACACACATATATATATATATATATATATATATATATATATATATATATATATATATATCGGGTGCAACAGCAAAACTGTCCAGATCGTATTACTCCATCTCAGAAAATGTTTAATATCTAAAAAACCACTAAACTATTTTAGTTTCTTTTTTCCCAATTTTCAGATAAGACGTTTATCCATCTTCATATCATTTGTCGCAAGAATCACTGAAAAACTCGGCTATTCGGCTATAAAAAGAACAGATTAAAATCGTTTTGTGTCAGCCCCACTGTCTTCTCAACTGGGCAATGGTGGGAGGAAAACAGGCCTTCAGTAATGTTACCAACAGTCATACTCTTTAAGGTTCATTCAAGAACTATCAAGATAACGCTGAGTAAGTTTTTTTAAAAAAGGAACCTGAATCAGGAAGTATCAACAGAAAGAGCTAAAGAAATCAAGTAGAAAAGATCCAACTCAATCTATAAGTGAGAGAGGAATTTCACCTACGATTGTCCAAAAAGCAGTGAAAAAGGATTGAAATTGAAATCGTACGTGAGACGTGCGAGGTACCTTGTTACTCTAGGACAGAAAGAAGATTACAGAGAGCGAAGTTGGAAAATGATCCTGGAATAATATATATTTGAACTTTATATCAATCTTATATATGAGCTTCCGATGCTTAGCTAGGATTAATTTATGATGACCATGTAATTTTCGTTTTTGATCGATGTCATAAAGATTCTTCTGTTAAGCTTGGAGAGTAATTATACATTCTTATTGCTCAAAGCAAAGTCCAATAGTGTTATAAAAACCTCGTAGAATTCCAGTAAGATATATTTAATCGTTTCTAAGATACAACGTTTCAGAGCTTAATCTAACAATTGGAAATTTTGTTTTTTACATGATTTAGACAATTTTGCAGTTACACCAAGTATATATATGCAGGTGCGTGCAATAAAGCTTCTACTCCACGATGACATAAAAAATATATAAAGATATTTAGCAAGTTCGTCTTAAAGACTTGATTTCGATACTCACTAGGTGCCAAAACACGTAGGTTCGTGCTGTACCAACTCAGTTTGTTTGATGTCTATCTTTTATAATTGTTTGCCTGCATGATTTTTTCATTATGCGATCGATTTCTTTATTTCCGTCTAAATCGCCGTCTGCTTTTGCATACTTTTGTGACTTTTTTCTTATTCCTTTTCTCAAACCTTTCCTATTATTATTTACACACATTCATTTTATTTCTCTTTTTTTTTCACTCGGTAATTCTTCTCAAAACTCTTACTGTTTCCCATTTTGGACTTTCTTTGCCATCACACATTCCAGTCATGGCCTAGTAAAACTGGACTCGGTCCAGAGACATCAATTCTCCCCAATCGAAACCTTGCAGCCACAAACACAAATTATATTCACGTTCATCCTGACTTTTCTTTCTGTTCCTTTTTTCCTCACATCACTTTCGTTTCTTCCTATTTTTTTCTTCTTATGGGTAAATAAAGATGATTCCTCAACACTAATTTCTCTTTGTATAAAGATAACGTGGCAATAAATTGTGGGTAAAAATCGTTGGTGGCTGGCAGTTCTCGCCCTATATTTGCTAATCTAAATATACGATGTGGTGTTCGAATTCAGTTATCAGCAGTTCAGTCTTACAGAAGGTTGGGATAACCACATTTATTTTGCCTAGAAAATTGTAACATACACAAAGTTCAAATGTTTATTCTCAAGTGTCAAGAATAATAGAAACTACATAAAGCAATAAATAATTACAGATATTGCTTGTACAGAGAAGAGATTTTAAAAATAGAAACATTTTTAAGCCTATTTTCTAAAGTCTGCAGTATTTTTTTTAATGGAAGACATCAGTTTGCATTTTTTTAAGGTGGTGTGGTGTATATTTAAAATAGATATACTTAAACGATAATATGAATGATATTTTCTTACTGTCTTCATTATCGCGGTTATTGTTATTAATG